CTCCTTAACATTTACAACATTACACTTCTACATCCATCATTTCAACAAAATTAAGTTTTTCGGCTTTCGATAAACAGATACAAGGGCACATTTCACCATCATGTATGCACATGTTATATCGTTTTATTTTATTTGTATTCATATTTATATTTATAATTTAAATAATGATTAGATAAAAAAATTCCAAATCCCAATTCTTCCTTCCCTTTATTTCCAACATATCCGACACTTTTAAACATGTGGCTACAAAATCACATTAATATCAAAAACAATGGATAATTTATCGTAACAACATTCACTCATTTTATCCAGATAATCAACATCAATTATATAAAGATCGTTGGAGAGAATATGTTCATAAAAGTGTTTGAAATTATTATTAACTTATGAACCAATAAACATATTTAATTTTATTGTATTTATTGTAAAAACTATATCAATATATTCATTACTATTGTATATATATTATTGTATTTAATATTCGTTCAAGTAAAATTATTTAATGATTATTAAACAAAATTAATCCTTAGTCATAATGACTGTATTCATTCAAACAGTATTTTCTTCGTGGGTTTTAAATTTATTTATGAAAGCAAATCTTTTTGGTCATTTAATCATATGATTATGGCGTTTACGAAGGTATAGAAGATAAAGTAGCTTTTGTATATCAATATTGGTGGTGATGGTAATAATTGGTATTAATGGTGTAGTAGCAGCACTGATGGTGGTACACACAGTGAAAAAAGTGATGATGGTGGTGACGATGTAGCTATTGGAAGTTTAAGTAATTGCATCTTCTTGAAGTTTTCCAGTAACAACAAGCAACTTCTTGTTCAGGCAAACTGCAAATCGCCTATCTTTTCTTTTTTAGTCCTCAAAAACAAAATTCTGATTGGCTAATTTGAATTTCACGTGCGTGAATTTCGGAGGAGAGAAAGTTTAGAAAGGAAAATTGACAATTTATATTTATTTTCATCATTTTTTTATTTTAAATTATAAGTTATTTATCCCTAATCAGTTTATTTATATATGTGTGCTATTAACATATATGTCTCATTTTTTAGAATATAAAACAAAAATTGGTTGGAAAATTTCAAATGTTAAATGTTTCCAGCCTTTTATTTGTGATTTCCTGAACACATTGACATACATTTCCGATTACCTGATCTGAAATTATGAATAAAAGATTGTAGAAGAGCTAGAAAAACTTTGAAATATGGTGATGATAATGTTATTGATATTAATCCTGTAAATTCAATGATATTTAACAAGCAAATTTGGAATTCAAACAATTGAATCACTAACCAAAACTTACCTCTAATATAAAAAATGAATTAAACCTTTCCGCAGACATACACTAGATAAACGAAAGAAACACTTCAAGAGACTTAAGTGAAAGCGTCGAAGGATCTGTTGAAGAATATGAAGGTTCGGTTCTGACAAGTTTTATGACATGATGTAAATTATTTCAATGATAATGGTGATGAAGATTTAAAATTTCTAATTGGAACCAATTTTAATGTGATTTTTCTACCTGATCTTAATGAGAGTGATGAAGAGGATGTAAATGGTTTAGTTAATGAAATTTTGATTTAATTATATTCCTTGTATTCATAAAGTTCATAATACGCAGGCTGCGTTTAATTGCGCAAATTGCATCCTTAGTTTACAGGTTTACATTTTCATCTGTTGTTTCTTATAATCCTCATGAAAGAATCTTTAAAGGCATTTTTTGCCTATATTATTGTAGATTTTTGCTTCCTAAAGATTATTACACTTTCATTGTTTTTTTAAAAAAAGTTTTATTTTATTTTTGAATATTTTAAGAATGCGATTTGATCAAATTAACATATGTATATGTTAAATAATTGTAAATGTAGTTTCCACCTACTACCACAGCACAACCCATGTGTATATTTTTATTCTTTGATAATAAAAATTACATTAAATGTGGGGCAAAGATAGGTCACGATGTAAAATTTTTACATGTGGGAAAGGATTTTATTAACACATGTAAAATGTATTGTAAAATATGTAAAATATGAATTCTAAATAAATAATTCCAACAATCTATTATTTATCTTGGTATTTCACAAGAAAGGTGAATGATGTCAATTGTGTTAAAATCTAAAGAGATTGATACGCGAATTTCTATTTTTTAACATGATGAAAATTGACGCAATCTAATCTAATATAATAATAATAATAATCTAATATTTATGTTGTGCATGAATTTTGAAATTCACGCGCGTGAAATTCCAATTAGCCAATCAGAATTTTGCATCCAAACAAATATAAAAATTTGATTTTGACTTACATTTATGCTTATATATTTACATCTAATAATATATATTCCACAACTCAAAAATCAAAAATTGAAATCTCAGAAAGGAGTTTCGACAAATGGAGTAACAACGAGTTTAATACAGATAAATTGAAAGATGTTAGAGGTGTGTGTGTGCGCACGCTCTATTGAATTTTTAAAAAGAATTTATGTGATGATTTCTAGATGTGGGCAGAAACACCCAAGGTAAAAAAGTTATACCAGTTAATAAGGATAGATTTATAAGTAAAATGTTTTTTTGATTCAGTAACTCTTGATAATTTTATTATTATTATTATTATTATTATTATTATTTTCTGTTTATTAATGAATGAATTTTAAATTTTTTAAAAAGTCTGTATTAACAATATCATTATTATTATTAAGAGAACAAATTATAGTTTGTTTTTCCTAATAGAAGAACGATATTAAAGATAAAACTTATCATTAGATATTTTCTTTTTTAACAAATTTTTTTCTTCTTTTAACCTTTTAACTTCTTCTCTCAATTCATTCACATCATTACAATAACATTTTAACATTCCTTCAATACTATTCTGTACAATTGAAAAAGTGTACGAAAATGATTAGTTTTTTTTTAAAACCCCCCCCCCCCCCCCATAAAGAAATTAATAAAAACCTGTTGAATATGAAATTGTCTTATTAATTCTACATGCATATCCATTATATCTCTATGTAATAAAGTTTTAAAATCTTCCAAACATTCATTAATAACATTTTCAAGAACTTTATGTTGAAAATTTGATGAAGTAGTATCTGATAAACTATTACTACTATTACTATCAATGTTACTATCGTTATTATTTATTATTATTGAATTCCTTCTGCTAGAATTGTTGGTGTCTTCTATATTAATATCAATGTTATTTTCGACTTTGTTATTGATGTTACCGTTAATAATAATATTAGTGGTGTCAGAATCCTTAATAGGTGTATTAATATTACTATCGTTACTATCACTACTAGAAGAAACAGCCTTTAAAAGACTCATAAATTTGTTAGGTGGTCTACTTTCCGAAGCATTATTATTATTATTATTGATTGTCTGGACGTCTTCCATAAAAACATTTTTCTTACTAGCAACTTTGGCTGGTGAAAAAATATCCATATAATCACTATTATTATTATTCATCTTTTGATCTATGCAGGCAGATCCCACGAGGAATATCAATTTATTTATTTATGATGTCAATAGCAAATTTTAATAATACAATCAATCATAAATTGCCTTTATTTATTTTTTCTATTTTCCAAAAACTACGTCTTCTTTAAGAGATACTTTGGAATAAATAAAGTTTAAAATTTAGAGGATGTTGTTTTTAAAAATGTTATATATGAAAATCAAGTTTGCGTGAATTTTAAATTGGACGAGCTTGAGAGGTTGATTACAATGTGATGTGATAGGATCATTAGCAAATATCAATAATAACAATAATATTGAAATATCGCGAATTAATATTTATTTTTCATGCTTTGTTTACTAGCATGTTTTTATATTGGATGACTTATTCATTAGAAATAGATGTATATAGATTGATGGTCGGATGGATGGGAATAATAATATATTTCTTAAAAATATTTTTCATCTTCTTCAGTCAAGTTTACAAAAGAAAATATTACTTGAAACGTGGTATATATTTCTATAATTTGTTTAATTATTATTAATTATTATTATTTATATGGGCAGGCTGCAACAAAACCAAAGAAGGTGAACATTATATCGCAATGAATTTCAAGTTCAAAATTTAGTGAAATAAAAAAGTACTTGCTTGATAGCTTTTTTGTTTTATATTTTCTTAAAAGTAAAAGTAGAAATAGTGGTAGTTGTGGTAGTTGTAGTGTCAGAATCAGAACAGGACTGATGATGTGTAAAGGAGTAAAACGATCAGCACATACTGAAACCTTTTTACATTCAAGTATATGAAAGTTGAATATATTAAAGGAATTAAATTTGTTACTTGTGATAATTTAAGAGAAATCTTTAAGAATTTAAATGATATCGGGTTCCCAAAGAAAAATATTCTCAAAAAAGAAAACTATATAAACTTCGATCCAACTACTTTTGTGATGACAAATGAGGTAGATCCTACAGGTTTAAATGTAGGAGAGTTCATTCAAAAAAAAAAAGAAACTGCAAGAAGAGATTTTGAACGAATCTACCAGACTTAAAGTATCGTGATGTACAAAAAAATTTGGTAATTAAGGGTTGGATTTAAATCGACCCGCGACAAGCAATCAGAACAAAGAAATAATAATTTTAGTTCCAAAATTAATCTTGATGAGTTGGGTAATTCTAGTCAAGAAGATAATGAAAATAAGCAAAATATATATATATAAGACATATATACAGATAGTATATGATGTGGGCCTTCTTTCAGAGAGCAAAATAAAGGTTTTATTATTATTGGTATTTCTTATGTTAGTAGGAAGAGCGAGAAAAGAAAACCAAATAATATATTGTCCTTGATTGCCCATAAAGAAATGTCATATTCAATAAATAAACCTTTCTTCCTTGCTTGGTTTGAAATTAACTTTTGAGTTTGATAGGCTTTTCATAATTTAGATTAACCCGTTTGATAAACAACTAATTTTTTTGACAAGAATTAAAATTGGTGATGATCTACCTTTTTTTTTTTTTTACAAAATATTTTTTTTAATGTCTGAAACAGAAAAAGAACTCACTGCCACTCCTTCTACTTCTTCAAATAAAGGTAAAATTATAAATTATAGGATAATAGAAGAAGTAAAATATTGACATTTGTGTAATGCATTTTTTTCTTTAAGAAGGAGAAACCAAAGAAATTATTAAAGTGAATAGGTGGAATATTGTAGAATTGAAATTTGCGTGCGATGATTATATTCAAAAGGTAAATTAATTCAAGATTATTAGTATGTGATTTTTAGTATTAATATTTATATTAATATTTATTTTTATGTTATTTTTATAGTTTTTTACAAGTAATTTGAAATATAAACAAAACAATATCCATACAGATGTTAAACTTATTTTAGGATATTTGGCATGTCTCGTTGCTTGTTTTTGTGGCTATTATGGACATGTAACACCGTTTGAAGATACTAAACTAATCACTTTCATATGTATTATTATGTATCCTACCTAATATTTATTTATATCTAATATACATTACTTACATTCATTATAATCTTCTTAATATTACTAATATTTTAAAGATATTTTGTTTTAAATACAATCTTGATGCTTTATTTATTTTTTATTGAAAGTGACATAATATTCATTGGAGATTCAACAAATGGTGATGATCAACAGCAACAGCACACTTTGATTATTCATACAAATGCTAAAAGATATTCAAATCTTTATAGTATTATTTTTGAGTTAAAGAACAAAAATGAATCACTGTTATCTTTATCATCTACAGATAAAGGATCAGAATATAAAATTTCTAAATCTTATGGTAGTTGGTTTGATGTCAATGGTGTATTGGATATTAAAAGATTTGAAAATGATTTAACTGAAGGATTGGGTGTTGTAGTTTCTGGAAATAATAAACCACACACACAATAACTAATATTGTATACATTAGAGAAAGAGATAGAGAAATCAAAAATGGTAACCTTTTAATAATTATTATTTATATTTAGTTGTATACAAACTCAAATGAATTGGGTCGAAAAGTTTTACAATTTGAATTAGTCTATTTATTTTGAGGCATAAAAAATATAAAGATATTTTATTATTATTACCTTGGTGGTAAAATTTAATTTTTTAAAAGAACTTTGCAAGTTACAAATTATAAAATTTTCAGAATGAATAAATGAATAAGGCGTGATTATTTTATGTTTTAATTTTGTGATAGTAGCATCGTTGTCATTATAACCGTCTTAAAAAACTTAAAATACTAGTGAATCACTGCGTTCCAACCAATGGGGTGAATATCTAATGATTTAAATCATATTCCACTTTTTACCAAATAGCATATGGAGTGGTGTAATTTTTTCATCTTCAACTTCTTCTGAAAAACCTCCAGCCAGGAAAGCTCTTAAAATCAGGCTTTGCCCTGATTCGGAAGAAAAAAATCCTTGCATCTTTTCAAATAATAATCCGAAATATATGAATGTAAAAAAGATAAGCATTATAAATGAAAAAATATATTAAATCGTACCCACATTCCATTCTTTAGAGATTAGTTCAACAGGTTTTTCTAAATCCTTTTTCATAATATCTCTAATCCAAAAAACTATTTCATAAGTTGATTTATAAAGCCATGTATCTGTGCCTCTTCTCTATTTTCTTTTTTTTTCCTCCCTGATTTTGTCAACCTTATCTGTGTCATGAGATAATTATTGTAATTATTAACCTTTCATTATTCAATGGACTGTTTAATTATTTAGGATGGCCAACATCCCAGTTGGATGTTGAATGAAACAAAGTAATTTTATTTCATAAATTAATCAAGATGATCAAGACAGAGAGCCTAATCAAAAGATTAACGACAACTATATATCTGTAAATATCATTTCTTGTTGTAACAGTGAATGTTTGTTAATATATGTTTATGTGCGTATATTTATTGTTTGGATATTCTTTTTTGAATGTTTTGTTGTTGAATGTTTGTTGAGGAGTTTTATAGAAGCAGAAGAAGTGTTGTTAACATGGAGCGTTTCATGATTGGTTATACTATTTGACTGTGTACTGTGGTCAGATTTAAATGATTTCTTTGGAGTTGCAGCTTTTATTCATTATTTGTTATAGTTATTATTACTTTGTTGAATTAAATAATATTGGTTTGTTTTAATCATTTAATTTTATATTAAATGCTTTGTTTTATTTGTATCTATATTAGCTTGTAAGTGCTTGCAAATAAATAATTAAAGCTATTTCACAAATTGTAGACTTCTTGGATAAGAACACAACCTGTCTTCTTGTTAATTTCTAGTTTCCCCTTATCAAAAAGTGTAACTCACTGCATAGTGATAGTGACATCTAGATGCATACCTTGCAATTACTTTACATTCTGCCAGTTACACCATCCATGATACTCTTTATTAAGTCAACCAACATTCACGTCATAGAGTTATTTTCATTTCTTCTGTGCATATTATTATTTGTAAAATCTAAAATAAACTTATAATTTAATGACTCTCGATAATAATATAATATTTTTTTTAGAGATTTAATGTTTTTGTTGGTTTGTTTTCTTTTATTGCTTCTATTACCACTACTATAATAATAGTTTTATGATCTGATGAATTTGCAACAAAAATTTCTATGTGAAAGTCAAATTTTTTTAACAGGTCATTTTTATCATCTTCATTTCTAGCACTGATAAAAAAAATAAGGCCAATAAATATTTAAACTATGAATTGAGTTGCAACATGCTGCAACAACCGCATTCCTCAATATCAAAAATCATTTTTTTATCGTTTGCCAAGTTTCCGTAAGCCATCAATGTTAATTTTATCTAACCTTTTATATTACATGATTAGAAATCTTCAATTAAGAATAGTCAAGACCTAAACATGTAATTTTTCTAAAGAAGGAGCTTGACCTATTGCAATATATACCAAACATACTTTCATCGACATTTAATGTTACATGCGGTAGGGTTAACCCTAGAGTCTTATAGACGGTTGATGCAAATGCATTTTGAAGGGGGATCGCTTTTATTATAAACCATCACAATTTTGATAAGACGTTAATTATAAATTGAATGGCGTGTTAAAAACTCCTTGTATTCAATTTTTCCTCTACATATATTATTATTGGGGCTGTAATGAAGTTCATGGAGGATTTTTTTTTCTTTGTAAGTTTCGCAAGTAATCTTTCCTTGGATAATCTTTAAGCAGTTTAATTTTTCTCGCCTTGTTCTTGTGTCAACGAAAATAAAATGGGCGAGATATCATAAATTCATTAAATATCACTTTACAAGTATATAGTACAATTGTGATGTTAAAAAATTGATTCCTTTTATATAATATTTACATATCTAAACCCTATTTCCAATTTAAATAAACATTTCTACATGTATATACATTTTAATTAAACCATAGTCATAAATTGTTTCTTAGAACATTTATAAATGTTTTTTTTACAAATAGAAAGAGATAAAAAAATAAAAGATATTCATATATTTAATTTTAAAGCTTAAACATAAATATTTATTATTTAAAATAAATCTTAATTTATAAATAATAAATCATCAAAATTCTTAGTGTTAGTGTTATTGATAATGGTATTAATATTATCGAAATTATTATATGAAATTCCAAGTCCATTTTCGTCAATTTAAAAAATCATTTTGTAATTGTTGTTGTTCATAAATATTTATAAATTGTTGAAAATCATCATCATTATTATCTGAAAATATTTCGAATTCTGAGGATGAATATGGTGGTGGTTGAACGAATGAATTAATTAAATTTACAAAATTTTGTTGTTCATATAAATTATCAATGTCTGGTGAAGCTTGGTAGTCATTTGTTGTCGTAGATAGCAACATATCTTGATCGAAAAAATTTAAATATTGATTTAAAATATCCTCAGAATAATTAAGATTTGATGTAAGAGATGACGCGTTTAGCATATTTTGAATAAGAATATCAACGTTGTTGTCGTTGTTGTTGTTGTTGTTGAAGAATAAATTGAAATCGATTGAAGGATCAGGCGAAGAATCTGTTGAAGAATCTGTCAAAGAAAAAGTTGAAAGAGGTGAAAATGAAGTAGTATTGTTGTTGTTGAAATTATCGAAATTATCGAAATCATCGAAATTATCGCAAGTTAAAGAATCAATTGCATTGGCAATATTAGCAATATTATCATTACTTTCAATAATAGTAGCAGATGGTTTAGATTTTTTATTTTTATTTTTATTTGTATTTCCATTTGATTGTTTAACATTAAGACGGGTTTTAGAAGATTTATTTTTCCGACCAAAATAAATAAAATTCCGACGTTCTCTTTTATTAGGTTTGATTGATTTTGGATTCATTTCGTTGAGACAATCGAATGCTTCCTTGGAAAGTTTTTTATATTCATCTTTGACATATTGAGGTTCGTTTTCCCAAGATTTGGAAACCATTGTTGAAATAACAGACATTGGTAACTTGTATCCATTAGCTTGTGCTGCATCCAGAAAAACTTTACGATAAATGATGAAAGCGTTAGGAGATCTTGTAGGCAATTTACCATTGATTTGTTTAACGATCAATTCACGAGCATCAATTACAGGTGGGAAGGGTGGTTTGATGAATGGATGACTGCTACTAGTAGAGATGACTTGATTTATTCTCGGGTTACTAGTGTCAATGAAAAAAACGGCTCTGTTGTTGTTTGAAGAATTGTTAAGGTTATTCATTTTGTTGAAAGTTGTTTTTTTTTGTAAAAGGTTGTTTGAGGGTTTACTAAATTTAGTAATTTATGGTTTATTTATTTTGCTCAAGTTTTGATTTTTTGAATTTTCTAGAATGACAAAAAACTTTGTACTTATACTTTTTTGTTGAGCTAAACGAACCAAAAGATTCATATTTGTGTTTTTATTTTTAGAAAATTTAAAAGTCGTACAATTTCTTTTTTGATACTCGCCATTATTCCACTTAATTACTTTATAAAGAATTCTCTGGTTTCTTTAAAATTTTTTAGTTTAAAGAGCGTTTTAGCTGCAAATGATTATTAATCAACTTATAAATAAGCGCACCGTACTTTGTTAATCAATGCATTAGCCACACAGCCACTTTAATTATAACAATGATATAATAACAATAATGCAAACATTCTTATTAATAGTTATTATTAATTAATATTAATATTAATAGTAATAGTAAATAATTTCGAAAAGCCGTTGAATTAATTCAATGCCAAAAACTATCATTACCTTCGGCATTTTCAAAACATTAATTTTAAAAATTATTACAATTTTAGTAATTCATAGTTATTAAATAAATTGGCACGATAATCCTTTCTTATTATGTCACTTTTCCTTTGGTAAAGAACATTTATTTGGACAATGTTTCACATTTGGTGTTGTAAATTAATAATAATTGGATGATGGGACCCAAAAGAAAATAAAAAAGTTCTTCCCATGCAAATACTAGTTTTTTATTAAGGTTGAGAACACAAAATGCATTGTACAAAGTGTTAAATAAAATTATTATATTTTTTTTCATAATCTATATCAATATGGATGGGAGAGTAATACATTCCTGTAAGCAATCATACCAATAATATACAATTAAACACTGTATATCAAAACAACAATTAACCGACCATAATTTATTCGTTAATTCAGGAAATGAAAGCTATCTGTAAGGAATTAAACCTTATGGTTGTACTATAGATATCTGAGTAGTTGTTGATTATTATTTATTAGACTTTGTCAGCATAATAAAAAAATCCTGTATTCTTTTCATTTGTCAAAAGAATTAAGATTGACTACCGAAACCTTAAGTGGTGGTGGGCGGTGGGTTATTGGATTGCATTATACGTGTTGAAGCTAAAAAAGTCTTTATGACATAATTTGAAATGGTGTATCACAAGGCAATGAGTAAGCACATGCACAGACGGACAAA